ACAAAAAACACCCTGACTTGGGCATTTTTTTGTTTTTTTTTTTGCTACTTTTCACCCCTCATTTTTCTTTTACAACACCCAGGCCCATTTTATTTTCTTTATTTTATTTTAATTAATTCTTTTTTGATTCTTTTTTATTTAATCAGAAAAAATCATAAAATGATTAAAAAAAATTAGATGTAGGTTTCTAATTAACTATTTTAATTTTTGACAAACAAAAATTATTTTATTTTAATCACCTTGATTTTATTTTATTAAGACCAGGTTTTTATACTTCAAATATTTTTCTAAACAAAAACAAATACAAAAATATTTTCTAAAATACTTAGAATTCTTTAGATTTTAATTGATTAATTTAATTTTCATAAATAAAATTAATTAATCACGCCTTATTTTATTATAATTAAAATTAGGATTAGGTCTTATTTTTTATTCAAATATTTTTCTAAACAAAGGAATAACAAAATATTGTCTGAAAACACTTAGAATTTTTAGGTTTTCTTAAAAATATCTTTCCCCTTTTCATCACCTTCGTGCATTTTATTTTCGCATTAGTATTTGACAATATTGTAATTACTCAAAGAATGTAATAGATAAATTAGATTTTTCTTTACCTTTTCTCCCTCATTCATAAACTTGTACCCCCGTCCTCGAAGCGTTGTAATAGCGTAGGACATTTAATTTCGACAATTGACTGTTTTCCTTATTACTATTAGTAATTAGGGTTTGTATGACAAGACTAAAAACAAACATTAGAAAACATAATCTCATCGTCATAAATATAGTAATTAACTTCTCAAAACTCATATACTAGTCTCATCAATTATTGAAACCAGTTTAATAATCCAAACCGTCATAAAGTATGTCAACATCAAAAAGAACATAACATTCGCAAAACATAACATTCCCAGCCCGATGTTACATATCAGAGAAAGACACTACTACTCTAACAAAAATAATAAAATACTCTAAAGCTATCTTCAATGCTCCTATAAGCTACTCCTGAGCATCTGCGTGTTACCCACGCGAAGGCAACATTCAAACAGAAAGGGTAAGTAATCACAATTCATTATAAAAGATATAAGAAAAAGATTAGTAGTTATAATCAACATCATCATATAACAACACATATCATTCATCAACACTTCATACTCACAAAAATACCTCATAATGACACTTATACATATTTCATCATCAAAATCATCATATACTCGCATAATTCACAATTATCATCACATCATAACTCATCAACAAAACTTATGCAATATCACATAGGATGTTAATGCAATAACACTGACACAATGCACGTGGTGCCAAATTTTTGAACACTTGGTTCATCACCCTCAATGATCCCCATTATAGGATCAATTCTCTTTTGGAACCAGAGCACATTACAAACACACTCAATCCGCACGATGGGATTGAGGCTCATCACAAGCAGACCACCATCCAAAAATGCTATGAATGCATGATGCACAACAATGTCTCATAAAATTCGACCACGGCTAGTAAAATGCATCATTGTTCACACAATCATCTTCACATAGCATGTATTACATATTGGACATGCACATCATCAAAACATCATCACATGTAACACCAATTCATCACAACAACATCATAGCAACATCAAATTCATTATTAAAACAAAATGTCTTAGCATACCAAACATATAATAATCTAAATTCGTAGATACATAGGTACTGGAGTAATACATCAAATAACCCCTATTATTTTGTCATAAAATAGTTATGTGAGTCAGTTTCCCAATGCTTCGAAGGACGCGTCAAAGAGAGTCCTGAAACGCAAGTTACGACCTTTAAAAATTTGCTGTCATATTGTTTGCCTAGGCCTCGCCAGACGATACTGGAGGCGCTCTGCTCGCCTGATGCTCGCCCGACGACGTGAGCGATTAAGTTCTTTGCTGCTTCACTCGCCCGAAAAAGCTCTGGCAACCTTTCCTCCTCGTACATTTTCCAGGGGCTCACCTTTTCCACCATCCAGCTCGCTGTTGGCTTCGCCCGGCGATGCATGGGTGACTGGCTCGCCCAACGATGTGTGCGATACAACAACTTCTTAATTGCGATTTCGCTCATGTTCCAACCTATTCCAAATCTGATTACAGTACCAAACTCAGTTTAAAACACATATCAATCATCATATTTCCACAATTCAATAACAACCCATCATTATATACATCGTAGACATTAAATAATGGTATATTTACATTGTTCATCAATAATTTCATCATTCTTTTTGTCAAATCATCGCATAACAAAAAAACCTACATCTACCTTAACCCCTATCAATTATAATAAATTGGGATTACACCTCTTACCTAGAATTCCTAGCAATTGATTTCTTCCTTTACATTCTACAGAATTCTCCTCTGAGCAATAGCCTCTTCTTTCACGTTCTCCCAATTTTCCACGATCGTACAAATGATCCCTATTTCTCTTATTAAATTAGACCCTTTCTACGATCTTCCCATAATACCCTCACTTACACACACACACACATACTCTTTTGCCATTATTTTCCTTTTCACCTTAATATCTATTTAATTATTATTATAAATCTAAATAATATAAACTAAATTATTTAAATCTAAATAATTCTAATTATCACCTATATTTCCACTTACTACCCCACCCTATATCATCCTTAAGTCACATAATATTCATCATAAATCATAATTGATTAATAAAATAAATAATTCTAAATTCCGGGATGTTACACACATGATACGCCCGAAAAGGTTTTTAGGTGGACCACTCCGTAATGGAAAAAATGTCTTAGAGAATCTATATATTGTCGGATCGATACACACTATAGCATATTCACTTGCTATAAGGTGGCCCATATTAGGGAACCACATCCATTTTAAAAATGGTTCTTTACCGCTACAACAAGGAGTAAGTGCATCTTGAATTGAATCAAAATATTTTTTGTCCCGTATAACTTAGTGTAGAGTTCTCAATCTCTACAAAAATCACTCTTACTATCGCCCAACCATTTAGTCAATGTTGAATGTGCTGATTCGACTATGTTAGTTGTTGTATTACTGAGATGTATAACCTGATCGGTCCATGCACAAACAATTTTCTCCTTCACTTGGTCTAAAATAGTACTCTCAATGTAATTTAAGAAATTTGGATATCAGACACACAAGCTCCTAAATTGCATTACAGAGGCAACATACAATTCTTTTATGGATGAATTTAATATATCAGTCCATGCATCCATAGTCTTTTACACCATGGCACTTGGTTTGACAATTTCCGTCTTCACTCTTGACTTGTTTGGTTCCTAACGCAGGTTTAGTTGACTCCTCACATTTTTTGTATTGTGATATCAACAAAGTAATACGTAGGATGTAGGAAACACCTTCGCAACCGAATTTATTAGTGCGGTGTCTCGGTCAGTGACTATCACCTTTGGCATATTTTCTTGGTCCTTTAACAAAGTCTTGCACATTCTGAGGCCCAAGTAACACTGATCTCTTTTCACATTCCAAACATGTAAATCCCACTGAAAAAATATTCTTCGTAGAAGTAACACCAACAATTTCAAGCAGTGGAAAACTATACTTGTTGGTCTTGTGCGTTGCATTGATAATGAGGACAATAGAAAATGTGCTGAATAACTTAATACTTTCGGGATGACTCCAGAATATGTCACGAACAATGAATTTATCATCATATACTGTGTACCTAGAAACATAATGGTTTTCATTCAAAAGTTTCAATAGTTGTTACATTTTGGATCTTGAACCCCTTATTGTCATGTTTTAATGACTCATATTGTATACTTGCTTGATATCTGAAACACTTTCTGGGTGTTTCTCTTTCAAACCTACAAGTATGTTTTTCTGTGTAATTCTGATTAAAGACATGTTCGAAATAATTTCCTTCTCCTCAGGGTTAGGACGATATACGATGGGATAATCGATTAACTTTGTTTGCTAGGCATGGTTATGTATTATAGAAAGCACATTAAATTTCCACATTTCATCCACACTACAATTTCCGTTTAAACGGACAATCAGACTTTCTCATTTCGGTGTCAAGATATTTCAACTTCCGAATCGAGGGAACATATGTGTCACTTCTCTCACATCTCATGGTTACAAATGTTTGTCTTCTATTTGAACTATTGTCCGACCTTCTGATTACAATGTGAAACCCCAAATTACTAGTTACCATGTGGACCCATTGAAGCATATATTAACGAGAAGTATATAATTGTTCATTTATGAATCATTGACCAACATCTATCTCGACAAGAATCAATTTAACATCATCCCACTTTTTCCAGTTTAATATCATCCTTCACTTCAACTAGTTTAACATTATCCTTCGATGTATCCTGAATTACATCGTTATGTACGACAACTTTGAGAAACATATCTGAGTGAACCATATCTAATAAGAATCAAAACAGGAAAATGCTCAAAAACCAATAACAAATGAATTTGGATATACATATCTAAAATATTGTAGGTGAGTTCGGATATGTATATTCGAACAAGGCAAACGTTTTTAGCTCAAACTCAAAATTAATGCAAGCAATGAGAGATTGAATGACAGAACTGTATCTTAAATTACAGCTTATTCTACTCCATTGATGTGTTAAAATGAAAGAAATCTCATTTTGGAAATATATTAAACAAGATTTCTTTTACATAAATTTTTAATTTCGCTCGGTTAAATTAGTTGGGAGCATAGGCATGTAATTACATGTTTAAATAAATAAAAAATTGAAATTAATTTATTTTCTCAAAGGTTTTACAAAATGAGACAAAGCTTTGTGAACTGCGCAAGCAATTGGTTCTTCTGTTCCCCAATATTATCCACGTCCAGAGAAAAGCAAGCGTTTCTTCATTCATCGTTCTCTCTCTCTCTCTTCTATGAAACCAAACAAATTCTGAGAAGAACATAACACAGCGACAGCGTGGCACCTTAAAGTAACATGTTTTCTGGTTGACTTTGATTGGGACGATGATGTTGTTGTTGCAACAATCAAGCTTCTGTGTTACTCCTTCCTCCCAATTTCCCTCGTTTTTCAGCCAAAGGAACCAACTTCGTCTTCAGCAAGAATTGGGTTCCTTTCATTTTCCTAGAAAGGCTAAAGCTTCTACCTTTATAGTTTCTTCTTCTCTTGGTGCTGGTTTTTTCAATGATATCGCTCAAATTGCGCAGAATAAGGTAACCCCGTTTCCGTTTTTGTTGTTTATATGGTGAATTGATAGTTGTATTCTCATTTATTGCATTCTGGTTTTAAGGTTCTGGTCGCAGCTGGTGTTTCAATGGCAATTGGGCAATTTTCTAAGCCGTTTACTTCTTTGTTTCTGTACGGTAAAGAGTTTGATATCAAGGCTCTTATTCAAGCTGGAGGCTTCCCTTCATCACACTCTTCTGTATGACTTTCAAACCCTTCATTTTTATATCCTACTTTTCCTAGCCGGACACCAGAAACATAACACAGACACGGGCATATTCACAAGTGTTGTTGTTGGTTTCAGACACATAGACGCACTCACACCTTTTTCAGAGGTGTCGGTGCTATTGAAGCCACGAGTTTATCAATTTTCATGCAGTGGAGTTTCACTTTCGTTCTATTTCTCACATAATTGTTTACATTTATTTTCCTTTGGATATAGGCAACTGTGGCTTGTGCAACACTCCTTGGCCTTGAGAGGTAAAATAATTCAGTTGTGTCTGGTTCATGCCATTTTTGTCTTAAAAGTAGAATTGGTCATTGTTTATTATCCAAATGCAGAGGCCTCTCAGATCCCATTTTTGGTCTTGCACTTGTCTATGCTGGTCTGGTTATGTATGATGCTCAGGTGTGTGTGATGTTCTTCTGTTTAAATATCATGCTTTCAATCTAGTTTGTCGATTCATCGTTGTCTTTTGATATCCCTTCTAACTATGTTAGGATTTACCTGTACTTAGAATCAACCCAGTATTTTCGAGAAACACTGTGGGACTAGATAGAACTGCATTGACCTTGACACTTCATTAACATTTTCAACCTATAGAAAGTTTCATGAATGAATGCTCTACAAAGAAAGAATGTGATAGAAACTAGTACTAATAGTAAATATACTGCATACCAAACGGACTTTTTTTGATAAATCTCTGGATAATTGTTCTCAATCATAGATTGAACACATACATATACATATACATACAAATGTGTAAAGTTAATGGTTAATTGAATCATAACAGTAAACTGCAAAAATCAGTTAGTAGGTCGAAGCAAAGCTTATATCGCATCTAGGACTGTGTCAATACGATTCCAGACAAGGGATCATAACATAGTATTCTTGGCCACTTCTCTTGAAACTTTTTGTTTAACCCTGTAAGTATCTCACTATGACAAAACTGTTTCCAAAGTCAATGACTTAAGTTTGGCAGACACAACTTTCTTTAAGCAAATTGCTACCACGGATGAAAACTGATTAGTACTTGTAATTCCAATCAGTTTTGATTCATTTATTTGAACTTAGTAAGTCGTGAGAGAGCTTATGGTATATCCATAAGCTATTTTGCGATAACCTCTTCAGCTTAACTTACTGTGGCTTCTGTAATTTGCAGGGTGTAAGAAGAGAAGTAGGGATTCATGCTAGGACAATGAACAAACTACTTCTCCATATGCATTCCAAACATAAAGATGCTTTGATCAACTCTGAATTTGGTTCATCCAACCCACCAAAACTAGAAGAAACTCATGAAAAGACCCTTTTGTTGTCCCAAGAAAGCACTTCTTTGGAAGCACAACAAGCCAATGCACGTGTATTAGTTAAACCAGGAGGAAAAATAAGGCAAAGTGATGAGGAGTTACTATCATCCTCTGGCTTCTCAGAAGAAATCTCAAATTTGGTTGGTGATGGTTTACTGCCATTTAAAGAATCTGTTGGTCATACTGATGTTGAAGTCATAGCTGGTGGTTTACTTGGGTTTTTTGTGGGTTTGGCTGTGTTTAATTTAAAGTCTTGAATAACCTTATATTGAATAGGTTATAGAAATGAAAGTAAAAGAGTTCAACTCAGTTTATAGCTGGATTTATATGGTTGGATTCTTTGAACAAATACTATGTGTATCATAACGTATTTAGCAAATGATAAAATAACTTACAAAACTTAATGTCTAAATTCATAAGTCATGTCACAAGTCATGATGAAAAAATCCGTAAAACGAACATGGCAGAAAACTATTTGCTAATTGACATCTGTCACAAGTCATGTACACGTGTAGATTTATGGCATGTTAACATAACACGTGGGATGATATTGGCATCTAACTCCTACTATATAAAGTTTATAAATGAATGATTAAGTATGATATAAAAGAGAGTGAATAAGAAGGTTATTAGAGAGAATGTCAGGGGCACAAGGAGCACAACCAAAAGAGTCAAAGACAGCAACAACATACGAATCAAAAGAAGGAGGACAGAATCGTACAAGAACTGATTTGCTTTCAAAGGAAGATCAAGGTGGCATTCAAGTGGATAAGCTTCAAGACAAGGTTCATGATCCTGCTGGCAAAGGTGGTCCTGTCTTTGGTGCTGGTAGAGATGAAAATAAAAAAGACCTTGGAGTCACAGGCACTGGCTAGCTAAGTGGTTATCATTACTTATCACGGTGCCAGCTTCTTTTCTGTTTTTGTTCTTGTGAATGGGACTGCAGTTTGTGGAATAAAAGCAAATAAATTGTGGTTGAATAAATAATGTTTTTGTGACGAAACTTGGATATACCGGTACGGAATATGGCGTTTTCAGAAAGAAAAAAAATTAAAATACGGATACATTAATAAAAAATAAGAGTTTTTTTTATAAAATACACCAATATATAGTTAAATTTTTAATTTTATTGTTTAAAAGATAAAAAATAATATTAAAATACAATAACAAAGAAATTAAAATATTAAATTTACTATATTAATATTTAAGAAAATTATAAATTTCATTCAAAATTTAATATTGAGAAAAAATTAAGTACTACGAGTATGTATTCGGTATTGGTATTTTATTATTTTATGAAGTTAAGAATATTGTGTCTAATGAATTTGAACTATATCAAAAGACATATTTGTCGTAAGAATTGCATCATTATATTTTATATAAGAAAGAGTTTGAAAATTTGAAGGAGTGTCTCTAGTGTGGAGTCTTCTTTTACGAACAGAAGAATAATGGTGTTGATGACGAGTTTGAAAATTTGAAGGAGTGTCTCTAGTGTGGAGTCTTCTTTTACGAACAGAAGAATAATGGTGTTGATGACGATGATAGTGTAACTAGTAAGGATGTTTTTGTTAAGGTGATGTGGTATCTATTGATAATTTTAAAGTTCAAGAGATTGTTTGTTAATGTTAGTGACATAAAGATTATCAGATGACATGTAAATGAAAAAGTGTGATGGAAAAATTCGCAATGTAGTTGATTTATTGCAATGGAAGAAAATTGATTTCTTGTTTTTAAATTTTACCTTTGAACCGAAGAACTTAAGGCCTGGACTTGCCACCGATGAAATAAACCCTTTTAGTAATTTGAGTACTAACCATATGTCATAGTCTGTTTTTCTCTTAATTTATAACTTATCTTTATGGTTGTGCATGAAACGCAAGTATATGATGCTATCGATGTTGATTTCGGGTCCAAAATAATCAGGGAACGACATAGATGTTTATTTAACGTCATTGATTGAATATTTAAGATTTTTGTGCTAGGAAAATATTGATGTTGATGATGCTTATACATGTGATAACTTTAAGTTGTGTGTCATGTTGTTTTGCACAATTAATGACTTCCGATATACGGTAATTTGTTTGGATACAATATCAAGGGTCATAAATTGTGTCTTATATGTGAAGTTGATACATGTCACCGCCAATTACAAAAAAGGAAAAGATTATTTATCTTGTACATCGAAAATTTCTAAGACCTAATCATGTAGATTGCGTAAGGCTTTTAATGAAGTACAAGAGTTTGATATTGCTCCAAAGCCTTTAACCGGAAAGGAAGTTTATAGAAGACAATAACACATTAATGTTGTCTTTGAAAAAAAAACAAGAAAAAAAAGTCAGTGGGAATTTTTTTTGTTGGAAAAAGAGGTCGAAATTCTTTGATCTTCCATACTGATGTAGTCTTGATGTAAGACATTGTATTGATGTGATGTATGTGGAGAAAAATGTATGTGATAGTTTGATTGGAACACTTCTTAACATTAAAGGCAAGACAAAAGATACAATAAAATCCCGCGAAAGTATAATTGTGATGGGTAACGACAAAAATTATCCCCAAAAGAAGTAGGAAATGGATCCTATTTGCCACTCTAGCATGTCATACTCTGTCTAAAAAAAAGTTTTTGCGATTGTTTGCAGGGCATCAAAGTTCTACAATGACACTCATCAAATATGAAGAACTTGTGTCAAAGAATGATCATAAATTAATTGGCTTAAAATTTCATTATTGTCATGTCTTGATGCAACAACTTCTACCAGTGGCTATCTGTGGCATCTTACCAAGAAATATAAGGGTAACTATAATCAGATTGTGCTTATTTTTCAATGCTATATGTAGTATAGTTGTAGATCCTGGAAATTTAGATGAATTGAAACACGGAGCTGCAAATATTTTGTGTCAATTAGATATATTTTTCCATTCACCATTCTTTGATATTATGGTTTACTTAGTTGTTCATTTAGCAAGGACGATTAAAATTTGTCGTCTAGTTAATTTACGGTAGATGTATCTGGTAGAGAGTTACATGAATATTTTTAAAGGGTATACAAAGAATTATCACTGTCCAAAATATTCAATCATAGAAAGATAGATCAAAGAAGAAGCTATTAAGTTTTGTACAAACTATTTGTCAGATGCGAACTTCATAGGAGTTCCTGAGTCTTGTCATGATAGATTTTGTGATGATATAGATATTCAAGATTTAAATGTTAAGACATTTAGTTGAGAAGTAGCTCTTCAAGTACATTTGTATATATTGAATAAACTTAATGAAATTGACCTCTCACAAAAGTCTTATAAAGGAAAAAATTTCCCTGATGAATGAAAAATGGTTATTGGCAGAGCATAAAAAAACTTTCATAGATTGGTTTAATGAAAGTATTTCTAAAGAGAGTGGTGCATCAGATGATTACAAATGATTGTCACGTATGCCTAAGTTTAATGTAATTATTTGGAGTGAATACGACATTAGTAAACTTTTGTTCTATACAAAATCAAAGGATGATCATAGCACCATGCAAAATAGTGGTGTTATGGTTGAGGTTGAATCCATGTACTTTTCTAGTTCCAAAGATAACAATCTTGTACTAGCATCTAGAGTTTACTCTGGGGTCATTGAGGAGATTTTAGAGATTAATTATATTTCTTTTAAAGTATTTTTATTTAAGTGCAGGTGGATTGACAATAACACTGGTGTAGAAACTGAAGAATTAGGATTCATAATGGTTAATCTTTGAAAGAGAACTTATAAGAACGAACCATTCATCATGGAAAACCAAGCAAAACAAGTTTTTTATGTCACTGATTCATATAACACTAGATGATCAATTGTTCTTTAAGGAAAACATATTCTCGAAAGTACTGGCGAAAATCAAGATTTTAACTATGAGATGTCTTGTTTAGTAACACGTGTAGACAATTATCTGAAGAAAATGATTCAAATGATGTGCATGTTATTCGTCGTGATCATGAAGAGGGGATATGAGAAAACTAGTAATTAAATAGTTGATTGTTTTTGTTTCTTTTTTTTTTTAATTTGGAAGTAAAATAATAAAGTGTATGTCATCTTGGGTTTGAATTTGGTGTAATCAATGAATATTTGTATTTCAGATTGAGGAATTGACAAAATATACAATATATCTATTTCAAGATTCTGCTAAAAATGGTTATGTATTATGAATATGGTTATGTAATACATGTGCAAACGACAGTACAAACAAAACATACTAACCCATCAGTTTTCTCAATAAACTGATGTAAGAATATTGATTTATTAACTTGAATACCTTTAGTAGGAGATCTAGATAGATGCATGAAATTAAAACAATCGGCTGAACCGTCATCTGATATAAAATAAATGAAGTCGCTACCGAATGTCTTTTATCCCGCCTAAAGAGAAAGGTAAACATCAAGTAAACTTGAGAAGGATGAAATCACGGTCTTGTGAGCGTAGAGATCAAGTAAGAGAGTCTGTTACGCGAGGGGAATGTATTAGCACTCCACACGCCCGTAGTACTCTACGGTATCCACTTATGTTGTCTAATCTAATGGGTGTGGTCAAAATCTATGTCTAAGGCTTAAAGCTGAAAGGGGATGCAAGAAGGAATGCATGCAAAAAAAAAGGAGAAAATAATGTAGAGAAAATAAAAGTTGTGCTCATTTGAGCCCTGCCCCAATGCCTACGTATCTCTTTTAAGGAATCAGAGCAACCGTAGTTCGCCTAATATGTTTTGGTTGGTTTGTGTTTTTTAGTTAAAAAGACAAAAACGATAATCAAAATAGCAAAACATCAGATAAAATGACAAAACATCAACAACAATGATAAAACATCAAAACAAGGACGATAAAATATCACATGGCAACACAAACTCAGGTAAGATGATAACACATCAGCATGATAGCAAAATGTCGGATAAGATGGCAAAACATTACACCTAACAATGATATCGAAAATTAAAGTAGGATGACAAACATATGCGATGACAAAGCATCAACAAAAAGATAGTAAAATATCATAGCAAAGATGACAAAACATCAAAAGTTAGATGATAAAACATCATACCTAACAATGATATTGAAGATCAAAGTAGGATAACAAACATATGCAATGATGAAGTATTGACAAAAAAAAGAGTAAAATATCATGACAAGAATCGCAAAATATTATGATTTAGATGATAAAACATCACACTTAACAATGATATTGAAAATCAAAGTAGAATAACAAACATAAGGGATGGAAAATATCAACATAAAGATAATAAAATATCATGACAAGGGTGGTAAGATGTCAGCTTATCAAAGATTTAAAACAGGGCCAAAAGGTGCACAAACAATTAAGATTGATTTGTATTTTTTTACTTTGAAGAAGAATTTAAGTTCATTATAGAGGTTTTATGATTTACCAAGAAAAGAGAGTTTTTGTTTTAAGATGTAATATGAAAAGAAAAGAAAACATCTAAAGGAGATTATCATAATCTCTAGCCCTAGTGTAATCATACAAATGATTGACCCTAAAGTTGAGTTTTGAAGGGGAAACTCTAAACTATTGTTGACATGCATGGATACATATCCTAATGTATAACTCGAAAACTACTCTAATCGAGCGATCTTAAGGGAAGTATGATATATAAAACAAGTAAATAAGGCACATATGCGGAATTTCCTTAAACATGTCTTTAAATAAACCAGAGGGATTCTTGACAGGTATTAGCAACGGAGGTCCCTTTCATGCATCTCTATTCCTGCTTGACATGGAAAGGAAAGCGGTAAAATCCTACTTGACATGGTCTCTAGAAAGAATTCAAATGCGGAAATAAAGAATGAAGCCACGATGATACCTAACGGAGTAGGTCTGTTTCCTCTTCAATACACATGA